TCTATGTGTCCGGCTATCTCCAATACAAATCAACCTGTGAGGTTTCAGTATGTGTCTTTCCTCACTCAAAGCGTCTAGGTGTCCGGCACTCCAACATCACTCAACTCGTGAGGTTTCAGTATGTAGCTATCCCCCCGCAGCGCGTCTATGTGTCTGGCAAACTCAAAAACCAATCCATCTGTGAGGTTTCAGTATGTAGCTATCCTCACTCAACATTTCTATGTGTCCGGCAATCTCCAATACAAATCAACCTGTGAGGTTTCAGTATGTGTCTTTCCTCACTCATAGCGTCTGTGTCCGGCACTATCCAACATCACTCAACTCGTGAGGTTTCAGTATGCAAACACCGAGGGGGACGGCTTGTTTTACAACGTCGTTGCCAAGCGACGAAAACCCAACCCCGATGGCAAACACCGAGGGGGAAGGCTTATTTTACAACGTCGTTGCCAAGCGACGAAAACCCAACCCCGATGGCAAACACCGAGGGGGACGGCTTGTTTTACAACGTCGTTGCCAAGCGACGAAACCCAACCCCGATGGCAAACACCGAGGGGGGAGGGGGGGAGGGGGGGGCTGTACCCCGCTTCACACTCGTCGTCTTGTCGCGGGCTCTACCTCTCGTACAAATATGCATGTTTCTGCTCGTGCGGTTTACTTTCGGCTACAGCAGTTTTGGATGTCAGGGAGAAAATCCCAAATCCCCAAGGGCTCTCCCCCTTGAGGTGTTTTGGCTGGAAACCAGGCATCGAATCTCAACGGTATAGGATCAACATCCTCCCGCAGAGCACCTCACCACATCCTCCTCTGAGTCCCATCTTGGCTACTGTAGATTTTTGCTCGTTCGATAGTGTGTCTGATGAAGAGGTACTCCGGGGTGGGCCTGCACATTGGCTGCGACATATGGTGAGTTGTTAGGCCATACCGTCCGGAGCCCGGCGCAAATTTGTTCGTGGTGCTTGACGCTCACGGCAATCAAAGATGCTGATGCCTGCTTCTTGTCGCAACAACGCTGCCGATCGTACACAAGGGGCTTGGTGTCTTCACCGCCCAAGACATGGGCGCCCACGAGCTTGTAGTCGAGTACGTAGGCGAGGTCGTGAAGCTCGCTGAGGCGGAAAGGCGAGTCGCGCTGTACCGCAGGACGAAGCTCCAGGTGAGGGCGAGGAAAGGGCTACGTGCAGAAGGTGAATGCACCGATTGGGTAAACGCCAAAACGAGACAGCTATGCGCCTTGGTGGTAAAACGGGTTCCCTCTTGACAGTCTGCTCCACCCACCACCCACAGAAGGTCAGGCCAAGGTATCCGTCATTTGAATTTTATCTTTTGTCTTATTGGGTACACCTTTACACGGAAGTATACAACGTTCGAGAAAATGTAGTCGTCCCCGCCGTCACGCGACACGCGGGCGGCACGCGCTGTAGATGGCACAATGTGATGTGTGCACTCGGGGCGCTTTTGGCGTTCGTGGGTCCGCGGTAGAGCCTGTGGCTTGACGCGATCCTCTGTGCCTCCCAGGTAACTTATCACGTGAGCACTTGCGCCAGCCTGGTACAGCTTGATTCTAGTACAACAATTCCCGCGTGGACTGTGCTGCAGGGAAGCGCACGAAAAACTAAACTGAACCAACCTGCGCGCGAAGAAGAAGACGAAAGGTGACGTGGGCACCCCGTGTCAGCACGAATTATCCCCGACATATTTTTTCTACCGACTGCAGCGACTTGCACGCCGAAGCAGCAGCGTTTTCCGGCCAACGCCTCCCTTCCCTTATTTCCGGGATTCCCCGCGCCCTCTCTCTTTTTTGCCACTTCTATCTATGGTCCACAGGAGTACATTGTTCGCGCCGGGGAAGACGAGATGTTCATCGACGCCACTCGCAAGGGGAATCTGGCTCGGTTCTTGAACCACTCGTGCGACCCAAACGTCTACATGCTGGCGGTGAGCTGCGTGCGATGGAGACTACACACTCCGTAGGTCTTGGGACGTTCGAGCGGTGGACGCGCGAGACGTTTGAAGTCTTGACGTACATTGCATGAAATACATGATCCCCTGCTGTTGTGGCGCCAGCGATCGGTAAGCGGGCCAAGGAGGATGGCTGGCAAACGGTAGAATGGAAAACAGGATTGGGGTGGGGGCGGCGAGCAGATTTGCGCAGACTCCCTGCTATGAAGCACTTAAGACTTTGTAACTTTGTGGGTGGGCGTACCCTCGAATGGTGCACTGCACGAGGTAGAACTGATTCTGCCTTGAGCTGCCGTGCCTAAGAAGCGCATTGGTGCATCGCCGAGTGCGTAACACGATTACGAAACGTGTTTTCTTGAAATTACACCGTCACTTTTCCCGCCAAGTCGACACAAACATGCCTTGTCCCGTGAGAAACTCACAAGCCTGGGCACCATGTAACGGATTATGTTGCTCCCGCCCCATGTGTACTCCTGCGCTTTTGGTCACTTTCTGTTGTTTTTCCCCGCCGCAGTTGACCGCGGGCAAGGGAGAGTCGCTAGAGAGGCGCGTTTGCTTTTTCTCCCTGAGGAAGATTCCCGCTGGAGAGGAGCTCTTGTACTCGTACCCTGCCCCTCACACCGTTGGCCTCGGAGGGGCGGCGGTGGCCCTGGAGTGCGCTTGCCGGGCGCCGAAGTGCCGCGGGCGCCAAAGCAAGAAAGAGGATCAGCTATAGACAACACGCGGAACCCACGATCTTTGTCAAGACAAAAACACCTCACGTCGTGCTCCGCGTTGGTTCTATCTATACTAACAACTGACACAACAAAGAAAGAAATGCGCACGAGAGGTACCACTTAGACTATATTATATACTCCATCGAAGGAGGGAGATCGGGGAGGTCCGGTACAAGGCCACGGTGCAGGGATCAGATTGCTCGGCTTGACAACCTTGACTGTCCGAAACCATCGTGGTGTAGACCAAAATTGTCGGCATTCCCGCTCCGAGGGTCGTTGGCATTCTTGGCCTACTTGGGGTGACGAAAACGTTCGGAAGGTCGACGGGCTGATCGGAACCAAAAATCTCATTGATCAGTTTGGAAAGGGGAGAGGGGCGTTCACATCGATCGGTGTTTAGGGTGGTGAGATACGCAAACGTGCTGTTTTCTCGTTATTGATGATTGTTTGACTGGATGACTAGATTGTTGGTGAATGGACTGTACTTAAAATGGAGCCAGCTGCGATTGCACCCTCTCAAGTTGTTTTGCCTATTTACTGTGGGCGGAGCAAGGTTGTGTCGCGTGTTGTGCCAGAATCACGATGGACGATACTGGCGGAGCAATGAATATGATGCGGCGGACGGAAAAACACGATGGGCCAGGTACCATGAGCTAAAAGGCTTGGTATGCATATGGCTTTTGGCTGTTTGGAGGGGTGATCATGAAGGTAAAAGTATGTCGTGGACGTTTTTGTTCGTGGCAAGAGTGAACGTTTTGGCTAGAGAAAAGCGTTCGTGACGACGGCCCGAGAGATTTGGTCGGTGCACCGTGTCGTGGGCTGGTGGATTCTTTCGCCACCACTCTGCTCTGATGTAGTGGAATACTATGGCCACACAGGCTTATTGGTGGAGGTGGCGGCGCATTGGATGTTTGGGTGTTTTTGGATGCGGAAATCGAGGTAGAGCAGGCGGCCGTGACCGGCATGAGGGAGGAAGGGACGATGGAAGAGCAGGCAGTCATAGAGAAGCCTTACAGAGGGTGGAGGGATGGGGCGAGGAAAGAGACGCACGCCGAAAAATTGCATCAAGGGTGTAGGAGTATGGACTATGGACATTGCAGAGACTTGTGCTACAGCAGTCTTTGCTGTACAGCTAGCGTCAACACGAAACATCATTGCCAATATGAAGAGAAGTCCAAGCTACACAGCAGGTGTCTCCAGGGAGCCAGGAAGGGATGCACGCAATGATGCATTTTTGTTGCGTATACGCAGCAATAAACAGATGATGTCAAAACTGATTCTCGACCAAGATCCCAGCTCTCGACGCATGGCATTCGAAAAAAAAGGCTGCAAGGTTGCGCTGAAGAACGACCGCCACACGACAGAGGACTTGGCATGGCTTCTAGTCTCCGTACGTGGCCAGGCTTTGGTGTGATGCTTGATGTCCACGCTGATGGTGCCTCGCGACTTGTCCATAGATTTGAGACAATCTGCACGAAAGCAACTCCGATTTTGATTGCGAACACCTTTTAGGCCCAAATTCTCATCCATTGGCTGCCATCGGAAAAATTCTTGACGATAGAAGCGTGAAGGCCGGTCGTTCGCTTTCGAAGTGACCTGCACTCTCACGCTCCGAATATTGTCCTTTCGTTGCAAGGTCGCGAAGCGCCGCCAATGAAGGATGCGTATGTGTCATGCCCGGTATTTTTCACGGCTCTCAAGGCTTGTCAGCGCCGAGACACTGACGTTCTCCATCATCCACCCCGCCTGTCTGTTGCCCATGCCACGAAACTACATGAGTGGAACCCCGCCCGCCTGTCGCCTCATAGGACACTTTGTGTTTTGCTTCAACTCTAACAATAAACAGCTATGATACTTTCGCTCCTCTGCCGAAAGTGGGAAAGCATTCCCGTGTGGGGAGAAGCCCCGCCGGACACGTCTGCCGACAAATATTTTCGTCTACCAGCGTTGTTCGAGGTGGGGAAGCTTTTCCCGCCCCCCGCCCCCCCCTTCACCGCGCACACACCCCTTCCTTTGTCGATTGTGTGCGCTCCCAAATAGCACCATGCCGTTGCCGTGCGTCTTCCACCATCATGACGAAACGTCGGGCGACGCTGCTGCTGTTGCCTCTGTTGCTTCCGCCGTCGCCGCCCTCTCTTTGGCGGCGAGCACCGCCAGCTGCCGGAGAAGGACCTCCAGCGGCTCCACCTGTCGCCGCTTCTGCCCCGGGAAGATGAACATGAGCTCTCCAGGCACCCCGCCGCTGTTGGTGGCGATGACCAGGCTCGACGAAAGGTCGAGTGCCGTGCCCAGCAGAGTGATGGACACCACCTCGGCAAGAGGCAGCACATGTCTCGATTCGAACCCCAAGACCTTGTGCATATGTGTCGACATTTTAAAGACGGTAGGGCATGTTCGAGGCGGTCCAGGCGAAGGCGAATGGGCAACAAAGGAAAGAAGAAGGTGTGCGGCGAGTGGTGACCCACATAGACAGCGGACACATCTTTCTCTCTTGTCGGCGTTGATGGGACATTGTTGGGGTGATGAGAGCGATGGCCTGTCCATGCAGAACAGACCTCGGACCTGCTAAAGTGTGCCAAGGCCAGTGGGTATGCACACCAACAGGAGTAGAGTATGGTAGTGATGGGCAGGACCACGGAGGGTAAACCCCGCATCAACGCCTTGAGGATGAAGGGTGAGTGAGGTACGTCGCCGTTGCTGGTTTCAAACGACGCAGGCACGCGTGTCTCACGAAGCCCGAAACGAATCCAACTCCCCCCGCTCGCTGAACCGAGACACGAAGCTAAACCTGGATCGAAACAACACCTGATGAACAAAACACCCCTAATGAAGATTGGAGAATGGTATGGAAAAAAAACGGCCGAACTAAAAACACGGGTGAGCTCGAAACCAATATGCACTCTTCTCCACATAGCCACCGAGGGTGAATGAACCCCACTGCTTCTCCGCCCACCTTAGAATGGAACCACAGCGTGCTGTAAGTCACGTAAAGCCTCCCGGGCTTCTTCCCCAGGGCGGCCGACGAGCTGTACAACCGCGTCTCCTGCGCGGCGAAGAGCCGCCACAGGTCGTCGTCGACCTCCACATTGCCGGCACTGGCCCAGCCTCCCTCCGGAGACGAGGCGGTGGCCCTGAGGGCGCTTCCGCCCGCGATCGTGGACCCATATCTCTCCAGCTCCACGATGTAGGCCTGCGCACCGGGGAGGCGGGCCTTTAAGAACGCCTCCTCGCGGGATTCGCACACTCGGCCCACCACCTCCGTGAGGGCTTTGACGGCCGTCCGCACCAGCAAGGCATGTCGACGACTCCCGGCCAGATCGGCAGCCGCGGATACCGGGGCAGGGCTGCTTCCGTCGCTTTGTCGCTCGCCATCCCGCTTGGCAGCGCCGCTCGCCGCCGCCGCCGCCGCCGTCGATACCACCTTCGCTTTGACCTGCTTCCCTTCTATGACGAACAGCGGGGTTGACCGAAGCAGCTCGACGACCCGCTTGCTGGGGGCGTTTCCCACGTTGGTAGCTGCTGACCCCACCGACGACCCGTACGTTTCGCCGAAGTTTCGCCGCCCGGACCAGATCGGCACTGGCGGGGGCGCTGCTCCCACGGCCCGGTACTTGGGCTCCAGCAGCGAACGCAGAGTCGCGTTGGCACGTTCCCTGGGCACACGTACAAAGGGCGGTCGAAATCCCGCACATAAAAAAAAAAAGAGGCCAGCTACCAGCGGCATGAATCGGACTTTGGTTGACTTGCGACAGACGGGACACTCTGCACTCTCCCTATACAACAGACGCGCAGAGTGGCGTGGCAAAACAACAGCCATCACCAAGGGCCGGTGCACCACTTAAATGTTGGAACGCCATTGACCTGTACCCGTGGTTTTGTTGTGGGTGTACGGGCAAGGAGGAACCAAAATACAAGACAAGAAAAACCGCTGGGGCATTCAAGCCCTTGCGGGCAGCGTGCGGGAAGGAGGCTCAGTTCACCGGCGCATCGACGCACGAAGAGTCATCACAGTCAACTCACAGCCTGGAAACTGTGTCTTGGAGCGGCCTCCACGTTTCGGCTGCGTCATGTCTGCTATACTCCTCGGCACGCGCGCAAAGCCCTTCCACGAACTGCAGGCACAGTCCCACCTGTTTTAACACGTCCCCACGTTTTCGTCGGCGGTAGCATACGTCATGGAGAAAGAGATGCTTTCTTGACATATTTGCTCGTGTACGAGGGCTCGTGTCGGGTGTGCGAATTTGCCTGCTTTTCGTGAACCGTAATCGAGGTATCACCAAGCTCCATATTTACTTCGGAGTACATTTTCGACGATGCACCGGTACATGCCTCTCCTGCGACTACCCGGGTTCGAAACAAGCGCCGCCCCCGTGACGCTGCATGTCATCAACAAGCATTTGTCCCGCGCACCCGTCCTGACCCTCGGGTCCGCCGCAGCAACCTCACCTCAACGACAGTAGCAACAGTGGCCGCAACGCCCGCGTCAGCACCGGCACCGGCCGTCGCTACCCCGCCCTCCGGCACTCCGGTTTCTTGGTCTTCCTCCTGCCGGGTAGGGCCCTCCATCTTCTCTCTCTCCCTTCCCTCCCCTTCCGCAGAAAGAGGACCGAGGGTCGACGCCGACGCCGCGGAACGTGACGCGCTGCTGTTGCTGTTGCTGCCGTCGAACGGCGCAAGCACCAAAAGTTCTTGCGGTATGGGAGCGGCCCGCTCGCCGGGCCTGGCGCCGTCACCGGCGTCCTCGCCCTTCTCCGCCGCCTTCTGTTGCTCAGGCCCCGGCGACCCCGGCGACGGCTTCGTCCCGCGAGGCTCAACACCGGCGGCGGCGGCGGCGGCGGCGGCGGCGGTGCCTGTTCGTCGGTCTACCGCGCCTTGCCAGCCGATCCTGCCGAGTTCCGCCACGACCGCCTGGAGAAGAGAGTCGGCGCGTTGGTTGCTTCTCACGTTCGCGATCTCGACAGCGGTAAGCGAAGAAGCAGCCCCGCTCGCCGCCCCCGCCTTCCCCGCCGCCGAACCGGCACTGCCGGCGCTGCTGCCCGCCGGGCCATCCTTAGAACTCGAGGTCATCGACGAGCTGAACGTCGAGGCGACCGATCCAACCGAGCCCAGGAGCGAGGTTACCGCCGCCGCACCCTTTCCGGCAAGGTCGGTGGGTTTCGGAACGGGGTCCGTCATGAAAGACACCGAGAGCACCCGCTCGACCATCTTTCCTTCCCCCACCCCCTTGGAAACCCCAAGGTTTGCCACCACCATCCTCCACTCCTCCCTCTCTTGGCCGGAACCGGAGCGCCAGCTCCCCGAGGAGACGCTCGCCAGGTAAGGCGCTTCCACGCGCTGGGCCACGATGCGCCCTTGCTCTCGCTGGGTCACTCGCAGCCCGTGGCTAGTTACGGCATATGCTACCGCGCCTGAGCAAGAGGATTGACCGCCAACAAACATTGGGTAATAAACATTTGGAACCCATTTGCTCTAGGGGTTCGCGGAAGCGGGGTGGTACTATTTGCGAGAAAGCGAAACCTGAAGCTGCGCAGCATCGCAACACCTGCTTCACCTCTCTGCACGCGAAAGATCCACACGTCGAACTCCATGCACTACGCGCACCACAGAGAGCATAACCGGTCCGTCCCCACGCAGACGCAGTTATCCGCAGCATCTACCGCTGTCGAAGGGTGTCTATCACGCAATGGCGATGCTGGAGAACCTCCAGCTTTTCGCCGAGGAAGCAAGACACCGCACGAGCAACACGCTCGCACCAACAACCTCCACCGGAAGCTGGTACAGAGAGGTGCGAGGTGCTCTGTACTTCCTCTCTAACGGTTGTCAAGCAAGACGCTTATCGTGCCACGCGGACTAGAGTGTGTCGTGGTATGTATGTGTGTGTGCTTTCCTCCCATCTACTCTGGCGCCAGTCTACGCACCTCTCTTGTGTATATGTTTCACGTGTCAGTCGCGGTACTATGAGTCAAAGCCACGTCACTCACGAGTGTTGCGCAGGTCCACCAACAAACCTATGCAGGATGAAAATACGAGACAGGAGAAGAAGCTAGGACCACACTGCTTGTGTACTTTTTATAAGCGTCGACCGCGCTAACCGCCTGACCAATGAAAATACGCCAGTCTCAGTGAGGTTGAAAACCCAAGAATGCTTCCAAAAGCGGCTAGATCTGGGGGTCCGTGAGGAGGCGTAATGGGGGAGGCTAGGCAATGCCACTCTCCAGATGAAATAGCCTGTGTTTGTGTGTGACTCACCGATGATGCTGTCGGCTGAGACCGTGGGGTCAAGGATGGATTCTATCGACCGAAGATGAAGCCTGTTAAGGTCGGCATGCTGGATCCGCTTCGGTTCCCACAGCCTCGATTCGCCAGCGGCAACCTCCCGCAACACGACTTCGGCCCCACCGCCTGCAGCTTTAGCTCCTCCGTCCATCTCTCTTCTCCCCTCTCTCTCGCCTCACGCAGCCTGAAAAAAAACAAAGAGCAACCGAGTCTGCCCAGAGCTTCTTGGCTACATCTTGTTGGTCGTCCATGCCTGGTACCAGGTAATATCTCTTTGCTGCTGGTGGGCTGGCCACATCGGCTGCAACGGCCGTTGCTGTGGGACAGCATTTGAGTTGTTCAGAGCACGAAGGCAGACACATGACCTTCTCCGGTTGCTTTTATACAACAAGGTCGCTCTGTCCACGGACAAGCCTTTAGTTTTTAAACTGCAATTGACGAATGTGTTGGGCCTGTGGATACGTTCGTCCCAAACAACTCCTTGGAAGGACCACCAAATAGACTCAACCATAACTACACTGGCTTCACATTTCCACAATACATCACGCTCCGAGAACGGGCGTGGGAACTCTCTGTGATGACGCGTGCTTGGACAACGTACATACGGCCAGCCACACCCGTTACAATGCAACCCCGATGCACGTACGTTGAGTATACTACAATCAAGGCGATGTACGCGATGCATTCGGCATCGCAGGGTACAAACCAGTACGTCATAAGTACAACGTATAACGGGGATCGGATAAACTTCGAAAACTTTCTTCGATAACTTCAGAACTTCCAGTTTTTTACTGCTACAACAAGGTGTATGTCATTCCCGGAGAGCTTGACCAACCACCAACTCCTGTGAGATGTATTGGTATGCCATCGGTAGCAGTCCGCCACCGCACATCTCCGGTGTGTCGTAAATATTATCCTACATAACAGGAACGGTATGGATGTGTTTCGTAGCGGACCTGAGGCGAAATTCGGCTTTGAGAGGGATGCAATGTTGTTGTTGTTGTTGTTGTCTTCACATTAAAAACCATCCCGGTCTCTCTATCCAGTACCTCCTTCTGTCTCAATCTCTCCGTACTAATCCATCACTTGACTCGGCCAATTTCCGTGGTCACAGGCTAACGTACCTAGAAAAGGTATACCAAAATAAAATGGACCCCAAGGGTCAGCAGAGCGATAAAAT